TCGTCCAGCGCGTTCACGAAGGTTCCGTGAACGCGAATATTCCTTGTGCAGTGCCGAAGAGCGTTCATTACCCGTACCGCCCCGTTGGTACTCCTCGCATCAGCGAAAGAGACTTCACCGGGTACACGACTAACCGTGTACCTGCAAACGTTAAGGAGCTACGTGCTAAGCTTGCTTGTACGCGTCAGCATCCTAGTGCTGTGACTGAGCACAACACTCCGCGAAATACTGCACCCCGCAGTGTTACGCCTCTAGTCCGTGGTAGGCTTCGTACGCCATCACCATTTCCGGAACGTCCGTCATCAGGACGTTTCGGGGAAACCACGTATCTCGAAGGAGACCCGATTGTTTCCAACGAATACGAAAACGAACCGGACCTCGGCTCTTCTTTGGACTGGTATGGTCAACAATCCGATCCACCTCGCGGTGGATCGTACCGCGGACAGTGTTATGGTTCTGTCGGCGGTGCTGGACGCTCATCATATGGTCAACCCCGGATTGACCACGGTCTTCAGGCGCCCCACGCTCGTGTGGAGGCTCTTGCGACTGTTCAGGTCTCTGAGAGCGCTGAGCTGAGACAGCAGCTGATTTTGCAGAAGGCCTACGTGGCCGAAGCCGCTCAGACCACCTCACACTTCCGTGTTGAGGTGTTTGAACAAGTTCGCCTTCTCCAGGAGAAGGTAAATCGGCTTGAGGAGAAGCGGAGGACGCGCCTCGCGTCGTCGTCGGCGAGGCATCACGACTAGATGACTCGGGCTGCACGTATGGCTTTAAGCGCCCAACGTAGAACGTTGGGTGGAGTCTCATGTCGGAAGGAAGTTCCAACGTGTATGGGCTGCCGTGACGTTCTGTCACCGTGAACGGTCCAATGAAGCGCGGAGCAAGCTTGCTTGCTCCGCGCTTCAGCAGTGGTTGCAGAGGAGCCTGCGAGTGAGGCGCAGGTTTCACACGCTGGCAAACATCGCAAGTATGTACGTACTTGCGCACCCACTTGTACTGGTGGTTCCACTAGAAGTCTCGCGTAAGAAGGGAGTACGTCTTCTCACGTCCTGGATGTCCCGCCTTGGGGACATCGTGACACTCGTACATGATCCTGCTGCGCAGGTCAGGATCACTCGGCACGACAATGCGGAACGCATTGTCGTCTACAGCGCTGTAAAGCAGTAGACCGTCGTGCACACGATACCGATGTGCACTCGCTCGTAGACGAGGGGCCAACTTCCGACGTGCTTTGTCGGAAGGAGCTGAGAGGAACTCGATCTGCTGCTTCGCGTCTGTGTCATGCGCATACGCGGCCTTCACCTCGTCCAACAAGGACGACGACGGTGTGTAGGTCCGAGCGACATCAATCCTGTTGATACCGGCTGTCTTGATAGCGTAGTCTGGTTGTCGCGACAACGCGACCGCGACGACATTCAACCTCCGGGGCTTATACTCGACCCGGAAGTTGTATTCCGCGAAGAAGGACAACCATCTCGTCATTCGTTGCGAGATGTGCGGAGACTTCACAGTCGTCCGCAACGACGCGTGGTCCGTATAGACCACGAATGCCGAGTAAGTACACTCGGAACTTCGCGAGTGCATACTTCATGGCAAGGAGTTCCTTGTCATGCACCGGGTAGTTCCGCTCAGCTGGTTTCAGCTAACGCGACTGGTAGTAGGTGGCTCGATCACGGCCCTCGTGATCGAGTTGCATTAACGCACACCCGATCGCGAAATCGGATGCGTCACACACTACGTGAAAGGGACGATCTTGGTCGGCCACTACCAAGATCGGCGCTTCAGCCAAGCCCAGCTTGACTGCATCGAACGCCTGCTGACACTCAGCAGTCCATATCCACGCACATTCCTTCTTCAGGAGCTGCGAAAGCGGGCGAATCTTGCCTGAGTAGTTGTCCACGTACTTGCCCAAGTACGTGGCAAGGCCAAGGAACTGCCGCAGTTCCTTCACATTGGATGGCGTAGGCCATTCATTGATCACTCTGACCTTCTCGGGGTCAGGGCGTACGCCATTCTTTCCAACGAGACACCCAAGCACGGG